TTTACAATTGAAAAATAAATAAAAGATTAGTCTGTCATCATTAATTGTGTAAACAGACTGTGAACTCAAGAGGATCAAAAACCAATCCAAACTAAATAACTGATGATAATAACAACTAAAAATTCACAAAATCAGTTATATATAAATGTTATTCGAAAGATCTTAGACATTGACGGTCTGATATGTGAATAATGTGTAAGTATAGTAAATGCCACTAACGACTAACCGATTAGATGTCATATGAATATTACTTTACCGTAAGATAATATGCACTTGGTATTGTTTTACTTGGATCTACCCATTGATGTTTAGGACTGCAATTAATCAATCTCTTATTGGCATATGTGCATACTGTGCGTATTGCCTCGATACTGCCTTAATTTACAAGCATTATGAGCAAAGATGGATAGGGGCTAGCAGTGGAATTCAGGACGTGCGTTTCATCCTATTTGAGGCTCGTCAGCTGGATGCACCTGCATCTCAGAGTTGATGTTCACTGATCGATTGCAGTCCAAAACATCAATGGTTAGATTCAAGTAAAACAATACCATGTGAATTAAAGTTCATCCCATTGCACAAGCAACTGGCTATCAGGATTCAGGAGCTAAGTGGATAACGCGATGGCGTTTAAAGTGGATGGTACTGGGTTCGAGTCCCAGAGTGAACATCAACTCGGAGATACAGGTAAATCCAGCTGACGCGTCCCAAATAGGACGAGGCGCACATCATGGATTCCACTGCTAGCCACTATCCATCTTTGCTTATAAGATAATATGGTTTGCATATTGTGACATGAGTTACTGTTTATTTACTTCGCACACACACACACAATGCAAACTACTTAAATGATCATCTATATATGACGTCTATATTTTACACCCACTGACAATTTTAAGAATCGTTTTTTTTAATTTTCCAGAATGAAAATAAAACAAAAGAGATTACTTATATGTATTTCATTTGTTTATTATAAACGATTTTTCACTAGGTAGAACACAAAAAGTTTTATATTGAACATAATGAAATTGAATAAGATGTATTTGTTTTATTAATCGTATCAATACATTTCTTTTATTTAATCCAAATTATTCTGTAATCTAACATCTCTGTAGTAAAAGAAATCATAGAAAACACAATAATAAGTGAATACAGATTATTACTTATCAAGTAGTTATGCAAATTGGCAATAATACGGATTAGTAAGAGAGTAAAATAAACAAAGAATAAATAACTTTTATTTATGAAATAAACCCTACTATCTAAATAATAGTAATGATAATTATAAGCAAGTTTTCGCTGTTGATCAGGTTTGAGATTTATTCCTAAAATTATATGGCAAAGCTGTGATCGATAATCTCTAACCATTTTGGGAATGAGACTAGGTAATAAGTACTTCTGAGGTTCGACTTCATGATCTAAGGCTTTACTGTTTATCTTTTAACTAAAAAATCTTAAGTTAGATCCTATAGATAAGACGGTTATGTAAAATAACATAATGGAGTGAAATAATACCTTATCAATTTAGGTGTTTGACCCAATCAGTAAATCGTTAGTTAGTGAAATATTGCAAAATTAACAACCAGAAGTGGTTAAATGTAATGTCATTGCATGAAAAATATGCAAACGCTTATAAATTCTAACTTTCATTCCAAGTGAATAGCAATAAATAAAGAACACTAAAACATAATTCGACTCACTCTGCACACTTCATTACATGGTGGACACTGGACAAAACCTTTGATCAATCCTAAATTGCCTTGTACGTTTAAAGCCACTGTTCCTCCCTGTTTTGGACACGAAATAGTATTCGGTCCTATCATAATCGCTAGTCCATTACCACATCGGTACTGTAGTTTAGTAGTAAAACATTTAAAGGAAGTGTAAATATTAAAATCTCAATGATTGCCTAGAAAACGAACACCCACTTATTATTCAACATATACACTTGATACAAAGTTTATTCCCTCCACTTCATGAAAGAATATTGGTATCACCATATTTATAGTGATAACTTCGAAAATATTTGCATTCAATTTTTCGATGTATTTGAATTAGTGCCTACCTTGTAAAATTACGAGGTGGTATGTTTCGATGTACATAATGAGGTGCAATAAATTTTTGACTTTATCATCTCGAAACTTTTTATTTAAAACCTGCTAACTACTATTCACATTAAGGATAATTTCATTCTCTGTGACAAAATGTAGTCGTGATATGACACTTAAGAAGATAATAAGAACAAACCTGATTAAACCGACAAAAAAACATCGAGTTAAAGAAGTCTCTTGTGTCACAGAAGAGAAATAAAGACATTCTAATAAGGAAATATCTTTTCCCTACACATAGTTCCCTTTACCATCTTAAAGAGAGCAAGAAGGAAGATTGGTTCACTAATCTCCGTTTTTATTTCCTTTCTATTATTTTACTTACTTCAGCTCTGCAATCGTATTTACATTTAGTTTATTTACTGAAAACAGTGGTAAACTAGAAGAATATTATATAATTTTAAAGAACTAAGGTGATATCATGCCATAAATAGTTTACATAAATCAGTTATTGAGTGGTAGTTACGTAATAATCAGAAAGCTAGTGAGAAATGCTAAAGTGAAGATGGTTTGTGAGTGAGTGAGTGAGTGAGTGAGTGAGTGAGTGAGTGAGTGAGTGAGTGAGTGAGTGAGTGAGTGAGTGAGTGAGTGAGTGAGTGAGTGAGTGAGTGAGTGAGTGAGTGAGTGAGTGAGTGAGTGAGTGAGTGAGTGAGTGAGTGAGTGAGTGAGTGAGTGAGTGAGTGAGTGAGTGAGTGAGTGAGTGAGTGAGTGAGTGAGTGAGTGAGTGAGTGAGTGAGTGAGTGAGTGAGTGAGTGAGTGAGTGAGTGAGTGAGTGAGTGAGTGAGTGAGTGAGTGAGTGAGTGAGTGAGTGAGTGAGTGAGTGAGTGAGTGAGTGAGTGAGTGAGTGAGTGAGTGAGTGAGTGAGTGAGTGAGTGAGTGAGTGAGTGAGTGAGTGAGTGAGTGAGTGAGTGAGTGAGTGAGTGAGTGAAAAACACATCTTTCATTAAGATGCATTTATTTCCATTATCTAGTAAAGTTTTGAAATCAATAGGCTTCAAACACTTTTGTCGATAATAGATGATAGTAATCAAACTCATGTCTGTTGAATCAAAATTTATTTTTCGGAGTTATTTTATGTACAACTTTCAATGCTTATGTTATACGTCAGATGGATCAATCAAAGTGGTAATGGTGACTAAACAATTGATTCCACAGTATATACGTGCAAATATTTTACATAATATATTCTTGAAAGTTATATGAAAGATCGAAACAGTTTAGGATTTCTAGCTAAAAATAGACTGGAACAATCTGAATATTTCTGGTTAAATACTTGATTACCGTAAAAAGGTTTTATGGAATTCACTCAAAATTTAACTGAAATTTAGACAGATAGGCACTGTAGCAAAAGAATAAGTTTGGATTTGGTCGAAAGTAGTAATACATGCAGAATTCCAATAATCACAGCTAACCACAGCAACCAATGGAGCATAGGCTTCAGTACGCATGACTAAACACTACTAATAACAATTTACCTCTATGACACTGTGGAAACTTACTATGGAGTAGTGTTAAACAAAAGTCTAGTAAATACTTACCACGTGGCATGATGCTCCCATATCACCGGTACTCTGAATACCTCTGTTTGTGTTTAGTACCCATCTTTTATTATTTCCATGATTAACACACAAAGAACTCGGTCCAAACTGTTGCATTAAAGGGTTCACACCTATAAATTGAAAACCAGTACTATTTGTAAGAACTGAATGGACCGTCGGCGAGTATATAGACTGATTACTCTAAGGTATCTAACACTTAATACGAAATTTTTTTCAGGAAAACTGAGGAATTTATGTTCTCTAAACTGACGTTACGAACTTAGTGTATAATTAATATGCTTCAAATACTTTAAATAAAAACATTTTAGAGTAGTTGACTCCACAATCAAGTCATGAAAATATATACAGTTAAAATGCTTAAAACGAAGTTGAGTAGAAAGTATCGTCTACTTAAACAGAGTTTTCAATCTCATAAAATCTGATCTACAGTATGTTCGAACATTTACAAGATATTGTAAATTTCACATCATGGTATACTTCTAGTTGGAAACCTGAAGGTCCTATTGGTGATATATTAGTTTTTGTGAACTCGCGAATCCTTACATACCCTGTAATTAGAACTTCATACAGAGATGAATCCAGGAAAATAATCTATAGTCATATCACGAAAGAAATGTGAAACTTCTGTTGGCCCTAAGTTAAACCCCACTCAACACTAACAACCAATTTTTGGACATTTATTATTATGTCAACTTTATTTATTATACTTTGACAGACGGCGAAGTAGTAAAATGTCCTGAGGACGGGCCTAAAACTCTTCACATATATATAGAGTCATCTACACAGTGGCTATTCTCATTGTTCCGCTGAATGAATCTAACAGTTAACGAGTCTTGTTATGCGTTGATTTTGACCAGGTTTTCAGACATATTAAAAGATAATGACAATTTTTTCACCGTTTTTAATAGTTCGATAAACAAGTTGCTCTAAGTTACACTTGTTCTCTAAACATGAATTCAGTTTGGTGAACGTTATAACAGTAAATTTTGTACCACCAGACTAATTTAATTCAGTTTCATCAAAGACTGAGGTAAAGATACTTTAATACCTATCTATTTAAAACGTCAAACGATAGTCTGCAATTCAAGTTAAGTCGACTTAATCGTGAAAATTTGTTTAGATAATGACCAATTGTAATCTTATTGTACAATATATGTCAAAACTAATCGATTGAACCTTCATGTAATAATATTTAGAAGGACTTTATAGTAATAAATTCCATAAAAGTCAGTAAGACAAGTATTTTTTTAAGAAACGAAACCAACTTACTTAATAAAGTTATGTGATAATAGAATAGTATAGGTAGTCACAATAATCTATTTCATGATTTGACATATTACAGGTTCATTAAACCTGCCAAAAACTCACGCTCTTGATGATTTGTTACATGTTGTTTGTCTGGTTCAATACGCTGCTGATACAGATTCATGTTACAGTAATTATATGCATTGTTATATGATACACACTGAGCACGTGTCAGATCAAAGTAATCACACCATAGACCAGTTGGTTCTTTTCTGTAGAAAACAAATAAATGAACTAAAATTGTTCAGTATAAATTTTTGGTAAAGACAATCTAATTATCCAATGAGAATTAATGAATATATAGAGCTAATATAGTGGATAATCAACCGAAGTAATCGAATCTCGCAGGGTGGATACGCACTGCTGAGGAGTCCCATACTAGGACGAAATGGCCGTCCAGTGCTTCCAGGTTTTCCATGGTGGTCTAGCTTCAAATGACTTATAATTTATTTGTATTTAAATCATAATAAAAGATTTTCAATCCTAATAAACTGATTACAAATATATTAGATAAGATATTTCATAAAAACATAGTGTAAATACTTAATTGAACTAACTTTGAAGTAATCGCATTAGATTAAATGAACATTTACCTAACATACGTAAACAATTTGAAATTCAGATTAAGCTGTTGCGTAAATTAAATTTCCTCAAAATTTTTACTCATTACTGGTTTGTGTAATACAAAAGCAAGATATATATATCAGTTAAAACAATAATTTAGTTTTTATTTTATCGATAATACCACTGACTACGTTTGGCTTATAATACTTAAATGGTTGTATAAGAGGCAAGCTGGGATTATTGTCAGAGTTTAAAGTCTGATTTTCTAATCAATACTGAATCTTACTTACCTTACGCCTTTTACCCTTCGTGAAGGGCATTTCCATTCTTAATTAAAAATTGTGAATTCATACTTTCCATTGACCATAAAAATACAAAGTGTAAAAAAATATCACTTTTTGACACACTAATTACCGGGATCTTCTTATGGCCATATATTCAGAACAACTTTTTGTAATAAATTCACATCCTAAATTTTTCCCCCATTTCCAGTTTCCGGCCATCTTATGATTGACGTCATACCACCTGGCATAGGAAATTATAAAACAGAAATGTAATACTGTCAGAAATAATAAATAAATAGAGTTCATTTGTGATGTGTGCTACTGATATCAACAGATATATATATACTATGTATCGCCAATAGAAAGTAAGATGCCTGATGGCGGAAGATTAAGGAAATTGAAGAGAAAAGAACGATAACAGAGAGTGATTGGTATGGAAACGAAGGAACAATCAAGTTCGAAACGACTGATTAACATTTTGCAAATGAAGTATTTACTGTATGGTTTTCAGATTTTACTAAGATATTCTGTAGTGTTGCATTGGAATAGACTTCTTTGTCCCCGACTTGTGTTCTCGTTAACTACACACTTAGATATATAGTACGTAAGAAATAAAGTCTACATGTCCCTTAACCTTACTTTATAACTTATGAAGCATATAAGTAGTTCACAAACGACTTAGAACACTATAATTTCCTAGTTGAATCTGAAAAATTAAGGTTAACCCATTAAAACGTAAGGTAGCCTAAATAGCTCAAATTCATCTTCAAGTGTTAAATAGTATCATCCTGAACTCAGATACTTGATCGCTGAATATGATTTTCTCTGGACTTTATAACATATAAAATACCTTATCATTATGTCTTGTCATATGAAAGACTGAAACTCGAATACTGTAAATATCAGTCAGTGATGAATAAATACATAGTTACGGATTATAAATCCCAGACTACTCATGTCAAATTAGTTGTAAATACTTTATGTAGATTCATATAATGGAAGTGTAAACACTAAACATTGTGGAAGAGCACTCTGGTTAATTTTTTGATTTACTATCGCTAAGAAAATCCTATAAATTTTGTAACTCTGAAATGTTTACACCCAACATCTGGTTCTTTATACTCAATGGTTTGTAATGATAATTCGATCTTAGAATTAACGAATTTAATGATTAGGAAACTGAAGCATACTTTCACATTGACCTGTACTTCCAGATTATTTTGCTTAGTTTAACGACAGCTTCTGTCATAGACAGTTATTAACTAAAGGACCAATAAAGATTAAACTATTACTTATCCTAGATTTATACGTTATTTGTGTTTGATTAAATTTAAAACCTTCGGGTTTCAAGTTAAGTATAAACCCAATAGATTACTAAGTAGAAATTGTATAATCCACATTTTTATCTTCACTTAACTCGTAGTGATTCATGACAATCACTCACCTTTATCTGTGATCTCTATTTTACCCTGATTATGATTAGATTCAATTGGACACAGTCTCTTACTGTAACTTCGTTAGTTTCCAATCATAATTAATCACAATGTGTGTTTTTTATTTAGATAAGTGATGTGTGAAAATTTCAGTTCAGTTTAAAAATACTTATTTGTCACAGAATATTATCAACTCGATAACTGTCAAAATTACATTTGCTAACTGACTGTCTTTATATTCATTAAATTAAAGTATGTCAGGAAGACTTTGCTAAATTGTCATGAACAAAAGTGTTTTAAATGAATGAACAATTCAAAGAAATACAAAACGATTGATTATTTTTCTTTATTTAAACTATACCAAATTTATGCAACTGTATTTTGAATAGTAATGAAAATATAATGAGATTGAAAAAAAAACTATGATCAAACAAGTGGTTAAATTTACATTACCTAGAAATTATTTACTTACCCAGAAACTTGGAAAACTGATAATGTTAACCTTGAAACAATTGACGGTAGTTCAACACTTCCTGACATAAGTTCATCCTGAAGAAAATAACACATTAATACTTTATGTACACAAATTTAATTGACCCAAATTAGATTTTTTTTTAAACTGCAGCAAAGCTATCCAGTTATGTCATTTCTATATTCTTGATAATACATGGAACAGGAGCACTTTATGGTACAAAATTTTTTTTTTATTAAGTACATGTTTACAATAACAAAGGAGTTTCGTAAAGGCTTGTGCAAACAATAATTAATTTCATTATTTTCTAGTGGATGTTATGACTGCAGACTAAGTTTTTATCAAATATGTAATATCCTAAATGGTTAATGATGGTTACCACAATACATAAAGTATGGATTCAATGAATTAGTATGAACTCACTTATAACGAATTCATAAACATATATTTTAAATTAATATTAACGTACATAAAACTTCATTTTATGCTTTGTCACAGTTCATTTAAACAGTTATCTACAAATGCAGTCATTTTCATGTTGTTTGTTTATTATAATCCTTTATAAAAACTAAAGAACGTTAAAATTATGACATCGGTAAGAATTCAGAGGCCGTTTCTTGATGGTTATGAATTCACGAATTTAACAATATCTGATAAAATTTAACTTATTTTCCATAAACAATTTTAATACAACAGATTCGTGTTTTCGGCTTTCAGTCACACTTTCAGTGTATTAGGACTATTGGTACCACCTGTCTGTTTAAGGCAAAATAAGTTAAGTCGAATCTGAACCTCCAATCAAATAGTTTACGTCATTTTGCTTCGATCGCTACAACACTCTTCCTGATCGTCTAAATAAAGAAAAACTTGAACAGTATTTGACTAAGCAAACTTATTACAGTTAACTCATACTTAAGCATTTCTTTATTGTAACAAAATTTAGGGAGAAAACTAAACGACCACCTATCAGCCTCAAGGATTATAGTAAAATATGATATAAAATTTATGCTTACAATTTCAACCTGAGACATATGACACTAAAATTTATTAATATCTGTCTATTAATGTCATATATTCATTCATGTGGATTTTAGTAAGAAACAAATCATTCAATATTGTCATACCACCGATTACACTTATTCACGTTCAAGTCAAGTCGTTTATTGCTAAAAAACAGTAAAACTCCCTGTACATTAAGTATCTGTCATAGTATTCAATAAGATTTACAACGGATTCATATTATATTCATAAATTCCAGGAAGGACCATGATTTCCAAGCATTTATATGAAATCACTTGACCAAACAGGCTTCATTAGAGTAATGATTATCTATGTTGGGATATTCAGAAAAATATTCCAACAATTATCCTGTTAAGTCTAATGGTGTCCTTGGACTTTAAATGGACATTTCCTATTAGTAAATATTTATTTCACTTGTCAAATATTGTTTTCTATTTTATGGTACGATGTGGTCTGTTTGATTGGTATATAAACAGAGTATGTCTGAAATATAATTATTCATATCGCTGAGGCTGAGACTTGCGTTCTGGACTCAACTGGCTGGGCTAGACAGGGAAGCGGACCAATCAGAGCCCTAGGTCGTTTTTACGTGTCTTACGCGTCTTTGAATCGATCGATAATTCGCTAACCTCGAATCTGCAGCATCTCACGTTACAACAATCTAATACTTGATTAAATAAAACTATCAGTTTACTCAGCATGAATAAATGGAAGGCGAAAACCTCGTGTTTTTCTACTTACATGCACAACTCTTTTCTCAAAATGTGTTAAATGTGTGGCACTACTGCCTTCATTTTCAAGATCCACACCGTCTAAACTCGGGCAGTTGAAATGACTTCTGGCAAATTTCTAAAGCAAAACGAAGTATGTTTCGATGAGATCATAAACCGATCTAAGACAGAAAACAATTTAAAATGTGTAAGCACTGGATGACTATATCTTTCCAATATGCACCTCCTCAAAAGTGCTCATTAACGATCCCATCACTGGAGGTCGAACCTATGACTTTCTGTCCAGCACACAATGGCTTGAACGCTAGACCAGTGGATTGAAAGTATAATTTCGACCAATCTATTATATCACGTGACCATCTACTGTTGCTTTTGGTGAGTACCCTCCTCACACTCCACACGGTTAAACTCTACTGACCATGGCTTGTCAGCAAAACCCCAGAATTCCGCTCTAGTGGACGTCCTTCCAGTGCTTCCAGGTTTTCATTTGTTACCCAGCTTTGATGGACTCGTGATCTCAGTAAAATTCAGTAATCTGCACAATTCTGATACTGACATATGTGTATCTTATTCGAATTGGAATGGCTTCATTATCAAGAGTAAATATTAAAATCAGCTATTGACTACACAAGGTGTTTCTGGGGATTCATTGTTGTTTCGTGTGGACTAACCAACATCCTGAGTTTAATCATTTAAATGATTGTTTTTATCATAGAATGACACTAGCTAAAGCATCAGTGAACATCGAATGACTATCTCGGAATTTCATCTCTACGAACTCATGACTGCATACGAGATCAAAATCATGACCTTTGAACTGCTTGACTAGTATTATAAGTTTAATTTTGTCGTTTAGTGATCTCATATCCTCCATACGACCTGTAGCTCTTAGGTTTTATTTCATGTAACGTGGTAAAACTGTGCTACTGCAAAATGACAAACTTTAATACAGGTTAGTATTTGTCCGTATACATTTTCATAGTTTTAATTAATATCCCGAGTGAGGGGTCGTGGATGTGAACTTCTGAAGAGTCCCATACTAGAACAAAACCAGGTTTTCAGCAGTGATTTAACTTAGACCAACTTATGAATTTGACTGTGAAAATACTAAAAACTCCGCGAATCCCCATAATGATAATATCTAATAGTCATTTGACATCAGAATGTCATTTATATATATATATATGATTACCAATAAATACTGAGAAAAGGCGACAAAAATTGAGGGCAAATAACATACCAAAACGTTTGGAAGAACAAAGGCTCCTATTTTCCGTGTCAAAGAAACCTTTGTGGATTTCCAAGTGCGAGTGACTTCCTTAACGACATCGTTACTGAATTAAAGAAAATAATATTTACAAGATGTTGGCTCCCTATTGTTATAAATAATTAAGTGATATGTGACTTAAAGAATTGGTTCTTTTAATTTTAGGCTATTCAAAGAAATTTCAGTATAAATTGTGACAAGAACCATTATTATTAAAGTTATGGTATTTGAGGACAGAATTTTTCTACGACCTTTGTTGATGTATGTACATGCTGTATTATTTACCTCAATATAGCAATCTTATTGCCAAATCCATAAAATAGATGAATTGTGATTAGAAGTGGAATTCAGGACTCCTGTTTTATCTTTTCCGAGACTTGTCAACTGGATGCACCTGCATCCTAGTGTCGATGCTCCCATTGGGACCTTAATCCAGTATCTTTCACTTCAGATGTCCGACACGTCACCATTGAGCTAATAAGTCCCTATATCGACTAATTTCTTTAAGCAACATGATGGCTTCATCGGTATTAACAAGGGCTCGAGTTATTGTAATGTTCATATTCAGGGTCAAAAGATTAATCAGAAATTCAATCCCTAACAGCTCACTGATGGAGTTATAAACAAGAATAAGAATAGCGTTTTGTTCTCCCTTTCAGGATCAGCTAGCAATTAAAAATATCTAAAAATTTGACAAAACAATGCAACTCAGATTGAAAAACACTTTTTCTTTACTACCATAGTTTTCCAATAGTTCATAGCTAAAGGTGCCTTAAGAATTGCAGCAAAGTATCTTCTGAGACGCTGCTCACTAAATAAATGGTCTTTCGGCATTGCCACTAAATTTTGCTTAGGTTAGCAAAAGCTAATAATTTGTTCTTTGTTGATTTATTAATGACCGTAAATTGTATCGCTATATAGGTACCACAAATGCTAAATCCACATCTTTGATGAGGTAAGAATATATATATATATTACTAACGTATTGTTTTATTTGTCTCACTTCATGTGTATGTAACTGATGCTGATTGAAAGTTGAACCAAACTACTAGTTGGGAAACTAATCGATTTTAAAACCATATATTACTTTTTAACAAAATGTGCAATCCATCGAGATTTATTCATGAATATCAAAAACTGATTGTTAGTTTAAATGAATGACTTTCTGTATTGATGCCCCAAAATATAATCTTTTTTTAACGTTTAGTAAAGTCAGCTCTGTCATTTATGGAACAGACTTTATCAAGACATTGAAAAATCGATAACTTAGTTGACACAAGTTAATCTAAGGATTTTTTAAAAATGTTTTTTAAGAGTTGAAATTTACTAATTGGAATCACTAATTATCGTCAATGACTTACCTAGGAGCAAATACTCCAAACTCATCCCTCGGAGTACTTGGCATTCCTGTAACAGGATCACGTTGCGTTCGTGGTCTGCCATGCTCGTCACGATAAAAAGCGTAAAGATTTCTGTTAAACCCCTAAATATGAAAGGAATGTTGGATCGTTTATCCCATTCATTTTATACATTCGGTTAGTTGCGAAAGTGGGACGTTAAAAAGAATAAATATTTGGAAATTAGTAATAAAAAAATAATTTCATTACTATTGAATATTTTACGCAGTTGTTTCATTTCATTTGAAACACCTTTGAAATTATCTGGAATCAGACCGAGAAAACTTGAATCTATTAGGAAAAATATCACTTCTGAGTCCAAATCAAATAATTCTACGTTTCACGTTGGATTTTTGGTCTGTTGTCCATATAGTTTAAGGTTTGTTAACTAGTCTGGCATCCAGAAGATTCTTTTTAGAAATTTACACATTAGGAAACTTCAAAAAAACTGGTGAAAACCCAATGAACTTCATTAATTTACAATAAGCAAATAAATTTGTCTGTGTAATTGTGTTTATTGAGAATATACTCCAAATAATCCGACTAAAAACCTTTTAATGATACTTTAAGTACCTTCGTAAATAATCTGAAATGAAGTTGTTTGAATAGGAATATTTTTTTCACTTTTAAACGCTTCGGCAGATAGTAATTATAATAGAAATAATAAATTAACGCATCACAACAACAATTAAATTTGTATAAATGTAAGATTTATACAGTGAATATTAGTAGTAAAGAGTTGATCTGATGACAACAGCATCTGTGTATGCAAAACAATTTTAAATTTAGAATAAGTACTTAATTTCACTTAAACGTTCATGTAGAATGATAGGGTTGGTAGGTTACCGTAACAAACCACAGAATTATTCCTATGAAAATATATTCAAGGCTTCTATAAATCATATTCAGAAAGTATATGAAATTATAGTATTTTTTATCGAAGACATATTTAGAAATTTCAGTAAGAAAAAGAAGCTTAATAAATTCTTTATTCAGCAAAGTATCCAGAGATACAAAAGTAAATTATCTAATTTCATTGATTATTTAATAATAATTTCAACAGTGGAAACCATGAGTCAATTGAAGCTAGACCACCATGGAAAACCTGGAAGCACTGGACGGGCGTTCCGTCCTAGTATGGGACTCCTCAGCAGCGCGCATCCACGATCCCGCCCCCTGGGAGATTCGAACCCAGGACCTATCAGTCTTGTGCGCGAGCACTTAACCATTAGACCACGGAGCCAGGACACGCACCGCTGAGGAGTCCCATAGTAGGACGAAACGGGAGTCCAGTGCTTCCAGGTTTTCCATGGTGGTCTAGCTTCAATTGACTCATGAGTTCAACTATTGAAATTACTAAAATCTCCACAAAACTCCTTCTAACACTTAATAATAATCAATGTCATACCAACTAGGCATCAACGTTGAAAGGACCAAATTTTTTTATACTTACACTATAATACTGAGTTAAATAACTTGACAGTAAAGTAAATTTTGTTTTCAAAGTTAGATATGACTGAGGGGAAACTGATCAACCTACTACTTGTGTCTGAAGTTCAGGAGTACTGAATAGTTAATACACAAATCAACAAACCCTGAATACATTTTAAATAAAAATGATTTTTATATTTTATATACAAACTGTTAGTTAAAAGATAAATTTTATTTGCAATCATCAAGTTAACAAGTAATTATAACAATACTGAACTGTGTAAATTCTTGAGAGGGAAAATTCTTTTCAATCACAGAAAAAATAAGGCTCTACTGAATTAAAGAATAAATGAATATATCGCTGGGAAATTCTCATTATATTAAAATACTATTATATAAACGAAGAATTTTCTTTTCAATAGTTTCTATTCAGGGTCCAAATTAACAATCCATAAAATTGGTCAGATTTAAGGTAAGGTACATCATTTAAAATTGTAACATGTGAATCAAGGATTGTTTGTCATATCAAATCAAATCATTAATGCTTGGGTGACTGATATGAAGTGTTAACTTAAATCAGTTTATAAGTGAAATGAAATTGTGAGACAAATGATTAGAGTAAATATGGTCAACACGAGGTAAGAGAGAGAATATACGTTACAAGCAATTAGCTTGTAGTAAAGTTTATAGATGTTAAATGTTTAAACGAGTTATTTATTTCAACAACGGTATGTTAATCAACTTCGCTTTTAAAATCGTACTCAAAAACCAATAAATTTTGCTCATTCATAATAGTTAATCTTAACATTTACATCTGATCAGTTGATAACTAATAAGTCTAATAGCAACTCATCTTTTTTCAAGATTCTATGGCAGAATGTTTAATTTAAGAGAGATTGATATTCTGTATATAAGTGAAAAACATAGAGGTTTTGGCTACATAAATCTTCCTGCTGAAAGTGAATAACCGCAAAAATTTAGCTATACAGTTATCTCCAAACTATGTTTTAGCAAAGAACACATGTTTATAACTAGCAATTTACAAAATATGTTTATATATAGGAATGTGGTGCATTAGAATAAGGGCTACTTTGATTGAAAGTTTATCGAATTTGTGTATGAGAAAGAGGTGGACACAACACAACTTACTAATGCATGTCCCATTTCATGAATTGCTGTATAGAGTAACACTTTACTCATTGGATAATTTTCGTCCAAACGATTTGGACAGAAATTAATGAATCCAAGAATTGGCCTGTTGTTAGAATATTACCATAAAATTATTGACGAAAAAATCTAGATTGTAATTAGTTATGAAGGACTAAAATCAATGATATATATGACTTCATGATTATGATTTATTATTATTCGGGAAAATGTGATCATTTGGTAGGAATTAAAATGATAAACCTGTGTGGAGAATAGTTGTTTTACTAATGACTGTTTAAATCTCTATACTACCGGTTTTATCAATATCCTTTACAACTATTCCAGAGAAGAAATACCTTATAACGAACTCATTTTTATATATTTTTATGCTTTGTGGAATGTGAAAAGCTGAGCATATATGCTTGATCACGACCGATCGAACTGTTCTTTATATGTTAACTTGATATTTCAAGAATTAATTCACTTCACATTAAAACTATAGCTGATTACTATAAAAACCTCTCAAACCTGGAAAATCAAGATACCCAACCCTCATAAACTGAAAGAGGTTGCTAAGCTATAATTCAATGTTTCGAGGATTTTCTTCATTTATACCAAAGAGATAAGGAATATTTATATGAATCTTGTATAATTCAACTTATCTCAAATGATTCAGAGTAAATATAAACTCGTTGTATATTTTACAAAATCCCCAGTATTTGCTTGACTCAATATATCATTTGATGTGAAGATTAATCGTAAATATAACTACATTCTTTTGTAAACCAAAGCTATAATAATCAGATCATGATTCTTAACGATACTATTTATTTTATCTTAGTCACAATTACTGTATTCAGTATCAAGTTCAGTTTATACCGGTTTACGAAAACAATGTATTTCTAGTTTCAAATGTATATATATATATGTTTTTTTACCGATCAGTATTTCCTTCCAACTGACAAGCGTTTGCATAAGCTAACAACCAATTATCATTACATAAACCACCTGGCGATGCGTCAACTATCATTAAATATCCATCGCCTGGTATACCGGAACCATCAGATCCAGTAGTTCCATATCGTGTTCTACATGCCTTCATTAGAAAAGTAATAATAAACAGTAAATTGATTGTTATTATAGAAAACAAGAAATCATTTCACTAATCAAAATAAGTGGTATCCGAAATAAATTGATATTCCTTGTAAGTAGTTGACTATTAGTAATTGCTATATATTAACCTTTTGTAGTTTTTGTTAACTCTAATTCAACTGATTTTCTCTTACACTTTGATCTGAAGAAATAATATAAAAGTTCACATTGATACATTGATGAGTGACGTTAATTTTGAAATTGAAATTTGTGCCAAAATATAATTTTCTTGAATTTGGTTGCTTTTTTGTTCGCTTTTCAAAAGTGATAAAGACAATTATATTTTCACTTGGTATTGTTTTGTTTGAATATTCCGATTGACGTTTAAGACTGCAATTGATCAGTCTTTTATTGGCATATGTGGTCCTGGGTTCGAGTCCAAGAGTGAACAACAACTCATCCAGCTGAAGAGTCTCAAATAGGACGAATTGCGCGTCCTGAATTCCACTGCTAGCCACTATCCATCTTTGCTTACAATCATATTTTGTTTAGTGAACATTTAATTAACATGCAATTCATGTAACTGATTAGTTTCACCATAATTTTTCATATAACTCCATATCAAGTAAATAATTACTGTATAGTAAAGAGTTAAGACCAGTTAAATTTTTTTCTAAGATGTTTGAATGGATACTTTGTAAAATTTGGAATTATTTTTCACTGCAAATTGATAATAATTGGAAAATACTAGGAAGTACAGGATAACTGTATCATTTGAATCTGATTGTATCAAAAATAACCTGAGGTTAAGGTGAAAACCTCAGAGTTTGAAGGACATTGTACTCATTGAATGGCTAGAAGATCCTTATTTTCATCCCTTGTTGGATTAAAATTTCATATTATTTGTAAGTCACAAACTCGTATTAAATATTTTCCAAAAACTTCTGTGGTTTGACAAAGGGTTCTGTTTATGAATAGAACTACTTCCAAATACTTTTTTATTTTATGAGTAGTAAACATCCTGAATACAGTTTTTTTAATGGTGAGATGAACATTAAAATTTTGATTTAATTAACTATAATACAGTAGTCATTAGATTCACGTTTTCACTGGCTTTTCCTCGAAAATTTTATTCCTTAATCTTAAGAAACATTCATGTTGTTACTAAATGTCTAATGATAGGATGACAGTGATTGTGAATCGTTAGAAACTGCTTTATTCTTCGTTTACAGTTTTCTATGTCATAGACCAAAATGGAGATTTGTAGAATCCTTCGGTCTTATTACTGATTACATTTGAAGTCTGATTTCTGTTTTTTTAATACAATTCACGAAAAGAGGTGTATAGTTTTATATACTGTTACGTACATACTCACAGACTTACTTGTAAAAAGTTCTCAGGTACTTGCATTGTATGACATTTAGCTGACGGATGACAAGCATGTTCGCAAACTGTGTCAAGCGATCGATTTTTGGAGGGAAAGAACCAAAGTCTATCATCTATACAGTCTCTATTTTTATTGTAAATTGGTATAAAACAGAAAGAACCATGTATTAATTAACAAAGATTAAACGTTGTCATAGATAAAGTTGTAATTTCTAAGAATTTCAGAAATTTCCCTCGTGTTTGATTGATTTTCTCTATATTTTGTGGCCTATATTGGTTTATTCCTATAACTTCTCACTGGTTAGTCACAATAAATTGAAGTGGAAATAATAGTTTTCAAAGGATTAGTAGACAGGATTGCACCAATAAAAAGAAACATTTGGTTGATTCAAGAACTGAATGAGTGAATGAACTTCTATTTAGTCTGCTTTAATAAATAGATAGGGATCACAAAAATTATCTTATTCAGCAAGATTAACTAAAATCAAGAAAAATCAATTTTTAAGTCTATAGTTGAAACTCTTGTTTGGACAGCACTGTTAACATTCAAACCAATGTATATTGGCTACACATCTTGTAAGTGTGATACAAAACTGCATCACGGCGTGTTCAAAACAAAATCATTTGAGAATAAATCAAATATATGTGATTTTTTATAAGATCTTTCAATGAAAATAAATAAAACAGTATTCATAGTAAACAATTTTTTACACGATATTAATTAAATTCCAAATTATTATGCTATCTCTATCATCTTACCTTCTGATTAGTAGGTTTCTGTTCGATGGCCGTTTAACATTGAGAGCATTTTGCCAAAAGTATAATGCTTTATCAACTATCTCATTCTAAAATAAAGAATGTGGAGATTTCATTATAATAAATAAACGTAAGTATTTCTTTTTTATTTATTCAGGTTGGCGAGATTATAACTTATGGGCGAACCAATTAAATTTAAAATAGCAGATCTTGGATTTTGGCGCTCAGTTCTTTCATCCATTTGGCTAAATATCATTTTAGCATTATAGCTGATGCCAGTTTATAATAAAAACATGAAATCTAATTCTAAACCCCAACATTCAACCGTAAATCCGAATTTAAATTCTTCACACTAATATATAACCCTCATTTAACCCTTGTAAGTAGGTGGACGTCCTAAGGTCATTTTTACGTTGACGAAAAGTCGTCCATAAATTATAGTATCACCATTCAGACTTTTTCCACTTTGGTATATTATATCGAGGAATATATTTGCTAAATTTCAACTCTAAAGAACTAATTTTTGTGGTAGTTCAAAGATCTCAAAGCGTTTAATTTGTTTACTCTTCCGATTTCCTTTGATATTACGGCGAATGATCGTAATTTTCAGTTGTGATTAACAGATCTTCAGGCTAAAATCAGCCTAAGTAAAAAGCTTAATCACTTTACATTGATTGCAATCCTAATCGTTTCACTTCTCGGAAGATTTTACAATTAAAATGTTTATTTTCGGGGTGAATTTGCATCTTCGAACAAGTATTTTCATTTATGAAGTTCTGTGGGATAGTGTTCTGATCTCAACTTGTTGATAAAAATGTATAGCCAGTATGGAATTACACACCACGGTAAAAATGACTCTTGATTTCAACCGATTGGTGAAACACAGCACAGTTTTATTCATTTCATTGATAAATTAACATCAACTCTGAGGACTACATAAATAGATGCGAATTCCACTAATACATAATATGTAATACATATTTACTTACCAATTGCATTTATTCAGCTCTTTAATCAAAATGTTTACTAACCTCTAAGTTAAGTATTAAAACAAAAAAAAGAAGAAAACTATACATCTCAATTATCAATTAATAAGATAAACAAAACGTGTAATTTCTTTTCACCTTTAAAAATTTAGATTTTGGACTATTGTTAAAATTCGAAGCAAACAATGGTACGATATTTAAGCGTTGATTATTTACTTGACGTGTTTGTATACCTTGTGTAAAACCTCCATGAGTCTAATCATTGTAAAATATAAAATTAAAAGAAATAATTTGAAAACATACAATTTTCTCCATTGATTGTAATTTACAAATATGTTTACATTTTACTGAAATAATAAAATAGTAGAAAAGTATAAAATGAATAAATGATTGAATGATTATTCTTATTATCATTTTCAATGTTAATATTAGTTCTATTAATATGAACTCAGAAAAAAAACATTTACTACTGATTGTTCATGTATATATATACATCAAAATTTAAATAACCTTTGAGTTTATTGGTTAGTTCACATTAGGGAATTTTGTCATGAATTAAGTTTATGAACTAGCAAGCACTTTTATTGTTTGTAGATTTCAAATAAATTGTTATTATTATTATTATTACTAATACATTATATATTATTGTTCTTTAATATCAATGGTTAAGACCATGAGTCAATTGAAGCTAGACCACCATGGAAAACCTGGAAGCACTGGACGGCCGTTTCGTCCTATTGAGGGACTCCTCAGCAGTGAGCATCCACGACCTCGCCTCTTGCGAGGTTCGAACCCAAGACCTAATGGTTTCGCGTGCGAGCACTTAACCACTAGACCACTGAGCCGGCTGGCATCCAACGGTGTTAATGTCTAACTTCAACTAATCCACGAAATTGAGCGACACATCCATCATTGTCTTCAGTGAGTTCTTTAATAATTAATGAGATTATAAGCAAAGATGAATAGTGGTTGACAGTAGAACCCAGATTGATGCACTTATTGTCTTATTTGGGACTTGTCAGCTGGATATACTTGTATGTCAGAGTTGATGTTCACTCTGCGACTAGAATCCAGTACTGTTTACTTCAAACGCTATTGCGTTATTTACTGAGTCTACTGAGCTCTGATAGCCAAACATATACCAATAAGAGATTGATCAGTTGCAGTCTTAAACATCAATAAGAAGATTCAAGTAAACAATATAGTTATATATATATATATATATATATATATATATATATATATTTATGTGTATGTTTTAGAGAATTGTGTTAGTGAAAATTTTTGTCAAGTCACTATTTCTAACTAAATTACTGAAAATGTTAATTAGATTTCTTGGCTTTTTAATATATTTCCAAGTATTGTTTAGTTCGTAATAAAAAGCATCTTCAAATCTAATTTATGTTAGAACAAACTTTATAGACAAAGCAAGAATCATTGAATGACGTAGCTAAATGCTCACAGTTAATTTAATGTTTAAAAGCTCTAAAGGTTAGGAGCTTTGGCTAGCTAACAGATGAAGTCTGATGTCTGTATATAGAAGAAACATGTCCTATCTTTGAGTCACTTTGTATTTATTATTATCAATCCATAATTTTTTTATTTTTATTCCTTATACGTTTTTCTCTAAAGAGTTTGAAACTCCAAGAATTAATGGAACTACTAAGATTAGTAAAATCGCAAATGTGCTTATTTTTACAACTGTTTATAATCAGTAGAAAAGCTACTCAAGTCAGTCCTAAAGCGGAAATTTCAAATTGGTGCATCAAAGTAAAAAAAAACGAAAATTTAAAAATGTATGTGCTTCGTTAGCATTTCCGTATACCGACAGTCTACAGAAGCTAATAAGTTTAGAGGAAAATTAAAGGGTAAAATGGCTTAG